GTGCTGCCATAGCCACTTATTCGTGTGAAACATACTCTCGGACTGGGGAAAGCCGAATGTAATATCACAAACGCGACCGGTAAAATATGAACTCAGTGGCCTTTTCAGATTTGGTTTCAAGGAATTTGTGCATTTTCTCGGGTCTCTGCGATTTTTTTTCCAGATTCCCGGGTAATCCCTGCAGTCCCCCTGAGTAGAATCCTCATTTAGACCTGATCAATTTTCTAGTCCAAGACTGATTTTAGAATGTTTTCCTCTGACACTGATTTTCTTAATTCTGTTTTCTAGATAAATGAATAGAGTGCAGATTTTCCAGCTGCAGCAAAAACCTGAAGATAGAAAGAATGAATGAATGAAAGGAAGGAGAAAGATTAGTTTTGACACCTTATCGGTATGGCGGTAGAACAGGCCCAAAATCAGTAACTACCGGAAAAATCGGTTGATTTAGGCAGCCCTGAAATATAGATGTTTAAAAATAGATTGACAAGTGAATACGATAATAATGCAATGATCAGAAAACCTCTGGCAAAAAGAAAGTGAGAGACAGGAGACAGTAAGTAACATCGTGTGTGAGTAGTTCATCCACTCACACGTGAGTGAGAAGCATCCTCAGCGTTCAAATATCAATGTACAAAAGAAGCCAGGGGGTGGAAAACAGTAGGTTTAAAAAATATGATGTTTCTGTATGCCAACTCAAATCTTGACTCATATATATATTTCATGCAGGAACATAAAGTTATAGGCCTAAAATTTAGCTAAATATAGCGGTCTCATGTAATGTACGCGAGAACTCCCCTAGGAACAGGATGTAGGAACAAGTGCTATGCGCATGAGAGGGACTAACAAACAATAAAATATACCTACCTTCATCAAGGACTTTCTGGACAGTGTCATCTTGTCTGCGATAGTAGAAGAGGCCTTCTCTGTGACATTGCTCTGAAGACGAAGACACAAAGCATTCTCATCACACTACGTGATCGCGTAGTATAGTAAGTAGCAAAAGAGCAAAAAACATGTTCTATCAATTATAACAACGCTTTATCATTATTTAAGAAATGTTCTACATTGATAGACGATGTGGAATTCATAACAAAATAACGATAGTTCACAACAAAACCTTACTGGTATCAGCATCAAGGCATTCAAGCCAAAGTAAACGCTGCTTCGTGTACATCTTGTAGCCACTGGTCGCAGTTGGGCGACCTACCCCCACTCCAGTACAGCTCACAACCATATTCCGCAATGTGCACAGGTCTCATAAAAAAACAAAGTACTACAAGATGGATACTAGTCTTGGTATTATCAATTTTACTCGCCTTTGTAGGTAGGTCACTTCAACCGAAAGTAACGCAGACTAACGGGTTTGGGGGGGTGGTACAATTTTCACACTTTGGGACGTGGAGATAAAAAAAACACAAAAATGTCAGATTGGGCGGGTGATGATGGATCCAATGCAGACATACTAAGTGTGTTAATTGGTTTTGGTTCTGATGATTTTGAAGATTTTGACCCAGCCAAAATTTCTGAAACAGATGAGATGAAAGTTTCAACAACCATAACATCCTAGTTCTAGGCATAGAGGGCTTTTGTACTGAGGCAATGTTCCCATTCCCTTCTTTCATTTCTTTTCTTTCCACATACAGTCGAACCTGCCTTAACGGAAAGCCGTATAAAATGGACACTTGTCTTAACGGAATCTCCCCGCTCCCCTCTTGATATATTCCTCTTTAACTACCTGTATAAAACGGAAACCTGTCCAACACGGAAACGGAAAGAAAAATCCGCTCCCTTCCGAGGGTTTTACCTGTCTAAAACGGAAAATGCTTTACCCACTCAGCTTGACCTGCATGTGAGCCTCAACCAGATTGTCTGAAAATTTGGCGCACCCCCCCCCCCCCCCCTCCCCCAAATAACTTATAAGAGCTTTTAAATTGTGGGTGCCATAAAAGGAGGGACTTCCGAGTAACGAGCGACCACCCGAACAAACACAAAAGAAGAGACCTAACCCTAGGCCTAACCCAAAAAAGAACCTGCAACAGACCTCATGTAAAAAGGCCAGCACAAGTCAACAAAAAAAAAAAAAGCACACTCCAAAACAAACAAGGAGCATAATATTATGGTCTAGATCTACATTGCTATAAAGAGTTTGATACAATTTAAATAGAATTGGAATATATGAATCCTCCAAATAGATCTAGTTATATTATAGATCTAGTGATCTAAATAAATCTAGATCTAGATCTAGTAGAACAAGTGAATAGGAAAAGGCCTTGAACGAGAAATCTGCATCCGATTCCGAACAGAGGGACTCAGCTGAGTCTAGATTAGATCTTTATTCTAAGTAAATAATTCACGCACCTGATAAAATGCGTTTTACCAACATTAATATTACAACACAACCTATAATAGGGTTTGACAAAATAGAAATTGGAATATGAATCCTCCATTGAGGTCTACAATGATCTATAAATCTAGATCTAAAGTAGAACAAGTGAGTCGGACTTGAAAGAATCCACATGATCTAAACAATCAGTCAACAAACGAAATTCAAAATGGCCGCTCGAGCACGAAATGAAAGTAGATAATTTAGGTCGTCGTACTTTTTCGTATTCGTTCTATTCAGGTTCCGACAATTATGTCGGAAGCGCCGACGTCGGCACGAAAACGAAAGTGCCGACAAAGCCGACGGGAGAAAAAGGGGGCGCTGGCAGTTGGCCAGGCCTTGCTCTTCCCACATTGACTAATACAGGTGGGCCTAGCGATAGCATCGGCCGGCTCGCGGGTCGGGTCGCGATTGTCGGCAAACATGCAGGTCTATCAGCCCTGATTTGAAACAAAACTCGCAAGTTTGGTTTCGCCGGCTCTAAACTTATCGCCATGGCCATGTCGCTGGGCAAGGGAGGGGAGTAGGGGAGCAATTTGGGGGTAGATGTTACCCTCACATGTGAGCCCTGAGCGATGCAGATGGTCAAGGTAGTGTGGGTGTGAAATCTTATGACTGCCCAAGAGAATGCTCGAGTAGCGAACCACTACGGAAACTTTCCTGGGTAGCCAGAAACCAGAGGTGTGAAATTAGATTGACCAATGCCTGCTGCCCTTATCATACAGCCAGCCGAGAAAATAGCTCCTTGAATCGTTGGTACATGATGGCAGTGAGGGGTGGCATTGGTTGACTATGCTTGTTACATCGATGGGTGGGGCTAAGGGTGGAAGTAAAGGAGATGTTCAAACGTTTCTGTTTTCAATAGGTCAAAAAGTGGTCCTATGAAAGGCAAGCAGTGGTTGTAAGACTGACGCATGTCATTATCTGACAGGATAGCAGTTGAGAGGTGTGGAGTTTTGACCACTGCTTGCCGATCGAACAAGCGATCCTTGATCCCATCAGCTGGGCCTTTGAACACCCCCCCCCCCCCCCTCCCCCTAAATTCCCCTGTCAAAGACAGAAAATGTCTAAGACGGAATTTTTTTCTGGCTCCCTTTCAATTCTGTCTTACACAGTTTCAACTGTAATTCTAAAAAGTCTCCACATTTCAGTTGCTTTCAGTTGGGATCAGACGATGTCAAAATAATTAAATCAATGAAACAGGTATTTTACCTCCAGTTTGGCAATTTTTAGCCTTTCTATTAAATCTCAAAATCAGGATTTGATATTGGGATCAAAGACAAATCCCTCTCACTAAAAAATTTCCGTGTGTGTATGTCTGTGTGAGGGAGGGAGAGAGAGAGAAAGAGAGAGAGAGAGAGAGGGGGGAGATTGAAAAGGTCAGAGATTCAAAGGGGGAGAGGGAGAGGTGGGCAGCTGCTGGAGAAAATAGACAGCAGATAGAATTATAAAACGACACGGGCAAGGATAAAAACTAAGCCGAGGACAAAAATGGAAATGGGTGGGTTAGAGTGTGGATTGAGAGAGATGAAAGATTGAGAAAAAGGAGTGTTGTTATATTGAGAAAAAGGGATTAGACGCTGTTGAAAGAGAGGGAAAAATATAGAAGTTATGAACAGATACACTTGAGTGAGAAAATGAAGATAACACACACACACACACACACACACACACACACACACATACACACACACACACACACAAACACACACACATACACACA